TTCGCCGTTTTGATTCCTTTCAATGCCAGTAGATATAGTGTATATAAATATATATATATATATGTATATACATATATGTATATATACATGTATACGTATATGTTAAATATCAGAAATGACTGAAGGATTTATGAAATGTGAGATTAACAACGGTGAAATCAGACATTGTGTTCATAGCTCCCTGCAAAACCTCTCTTGTAACCAGAGGCAGCATCCATGAATTCATCGCCATCAAGCCCTGCGCTGTGCTTGATGAGCTCGGACCTCCCTACTCAAATTTCGACGGCTAGGATTGCTCGTGTCTATAAGGAATTGGAAGAGCAGGAGAGAAAGAGAGAGCTGAGCTGAGCGCCTCTCTCATTTGGTTATGCGAATTCCATATTCCGTAATCTTTGTTGGATTTTCTTTTGGGGGTTTAGGGTTTCTCCGTCGGTGGGAAAATGAATATGATGCGTTCAAGCGCATTTCTTCTGGTCGCTCTTTGATTTCTTCTAATTTCGTAAGCTTCGTTTCTTTGAATTTTTTTAAGCTTCAGTGGAGCTTGCGGATGATGAGGGGAAAGAGGAAGGAGACAGCGGGTACGCCGTCCCTTTGGAGAAATAATTTTTATGTTTATTTTTTAATAATTTAGTTATATTAAAAAATAATTAAAATTTGAAATAATTTTTATCAAATAAAAAATAATTACATAACCAATTTACTATTATATAGTATTTTTTATTAGTAGTGTTAGTATATATTGTCTCCAAACTTACTATTACCTAATATTTCTATTGACATTGTTAGTGTAAAATAACTATAAGTCACTAATTAAAAATTCTTAAAAAATAAAAAGATAGTGTAAATTAACTTTAGGTACTAAATTAAATTTTTTTCAAAATAGAAAAATTAAAATTATTAAAAAATATATATAAATTAATTTATATATTTAAAAATAATAGTAATCTTACCCTAATTTTTTTATGCCAACCCATGAAAATTCAAAAATTTGGTACTATTTTATCAAACTCCATGAGCCCATTTGTACTAATTTATATGACATCTAAAATCCAATGTAAACTAACCTCCAATCCCAAAAAAGTAATCAATCTTAAATTGAACCCAACTTTTTAGCCCACTTTGATTTTAAACCCACAAATTAATTAAATAAACAAAAATTTATTAATGATTTTTAAATAAAAAATAATGGCTGAAAATTATCTTGCCATTGTTCTTATCATGAACTTAAATTAATTTCAAAATAATCAAAATTTTATTTTCTTAAATGTAAATATGATAATATTGATATTTATATACGTATATATGTGTATATATATGAAACCAGATTAAACTCTTTAAATAAATATTTAAAACTTAGAAAAAAAAAAAAAAAAAAAGAGGTAGTGGATTTGGAGAGAACTTGTGTAAAATCATAATATTTTAAATGGGCCTCTATAAAATCTCTTATTTTATTTTGTGGGCTTGGTCTCATGATATAAGAAAAGGGTTCTTGATTTCTTTCTCTCCTATTTAAATGTATAAATTTAATTTACACTGAAATAGAAGACAATTACAAAAAAAAAAAAAAAACCAAGAAATTAATTTAATTGAAAAACTTATTAGAAAATAAGAAAATCAGTGTGGGAATCGAACAATAAAGGAAATTAGTGAAAATAACGAGAAAAAATAAAATAAAAAATTACCTAATAATATTATTATTTTTTAATATAAATATTAGGTCATGAATTTTAACTTATTGAAATTATTATAACAAAAAAAAAAAAATTTATCCTTATAATATAATATTTTTTAATGAACTAAATTATAGTTCCACTAGTGGGTTAAGGTTATTATTATTATTTTCTTTTATTAAACTTGAATGATTACCCAAAATAAAGTTCTACTCTTTTTATTTTGATTATATTTTGATTTAAATTTATTTATTTTTCATCACATTATTAATCTTTAAGCTATATATTTTTAAAAAAAGTAGTATATTTTTAATTTATTTATCATTTAAATTTAACATGTTTATATTAAACACTTAAGCTACCTACAAATATCATGTAAGGACCACTTGCTACCAATTTGGTTTTGTAATTACCAAAAAAAAATAATAATTTTTGTAGTTAAAATTTTTATATTTTATTTAAAAGTTTTAAATTTAAATTTCATTAAAAATATAAAATACATTACTTTGTATATATATATATATATATTATATTGAGAATATCAATTTATACTATTTGATTCAATTGAACTTAAAACTTAATTCACAATTATGTCGATAAAATTATAATAATTAAATTAAGTTAAATTTTGATAAATTTATTATATTTCATAATCAATTATATTTTTTTTAATTAGGGTAAGCACGATAAACTAAAAATTCAAACTTTAACTTTTTTAATAATTAAAACAAAAAATAGATATCATAATTGACTTAAACTATTGAAGATCTCTTTCCATGCAAATCTTGCAAGTACTCTCTATGATTGTTTGATCGTACAACATTTGCTACCAATTGTTTGTGCAATTTTATGTGATTTGATTTTCATGTTTTCTAATACACATGCAATTATTTCTCATTGTACATGTAACATGTTTGATTTGATTTAACAAAGATGCCAAGGTGTGAGTGCTTCAAATTGTTCTCAATGTTATAAATATTGTTGAATAATAAATTGTAATTATTTATTTTACAAGTTTAAATTAACAAAAATTATGAATACTTAATTATCAATCTTTGTTAAATTAAAAGTTATAATTAATTGTTTTAAAAATTTATCTTACTGAGGTATTTTATTTCAATTAATATTTAACGGAATAGTTAAGATTTAAATATTAAATTTTTAATTTTTATATTATTTGAAATGATATGTTGTGATCAAATAAAATCTTACGTCTAAAAGAAATTGATGTTACACTTAATGTAAATAAAAAAATTTAAATAATTTGCTAAAATGGGTTGTATATCTATCATGTAATAATGGTTTGTACATATTATTTTATACAAATATATATATATATATATCTATATATATATATGTATGTATGTATGTAGACTACAATTACACATGAAGAAACTACAGCTTTTAATTTTCAGCAACGTAAAATTCTGATAATTCATCAAATTATGAACAAAGAAAAATTTAAAGGGTATGAATATATATATATATATATATTATTTTAGACAAACATATATTTAGCAATTAAACTATTTCTCTTTGATTTAATATTATTTATTGTGTGAGGTGGAAGATGAGTGTTGGTAATTTATGATATATTTTTGAAGCTAAAATCTTGATGTTGTCCAGGAGTCATGAACTGGAACACAAAAAGCTGACAGGCATAGTTTGGGATTTTTTCTTCTCTGTCTTTATAGTAGTTTCTTGGTAGGACATAGAAACAGCCGTCAAAAATTGAATCATACATCCACTTAATTGGACCACAACTTACTCATTTTTCACCTGTCTTTATACATATATATATATATACACACACGCACACACACACACACATATATACATAGTAGGATATGGACAAGTTAAACTCAAATAGATGCATATGATCAGAATTTTACCAGTTGAGAGAAAAATAGTTGTCTGGGGATTATAATACAGAGCCTAGAACAGGATTATTGGTCTATGTGATTCACAGTTCAAAGAAGGAAAAGAATTAAAGACAGAACAGAAAGCTATTCTCAAGGACAAAAATAGAGCTAAGACAGAGAACATACTGGACAGAGAATTAGAACAGTTGATTAAAAAAAAAAAAAAAAAGAACCAAATAACTAGATAAGAGAATTTGCAGAGCTGCACAGATTATGCTGGCTGATTATTAGTCTCCCCTCTTTGGTTGATTCTTACTCCAGCAGCTGAACTCACTAAAGTCCATAAGTAAAAACTATAATATGGTAGATCAGGTCCTCAACTTGTTAAGAAAGGGTCTTTTTTAACTCTTTTTGCTAA